CTCTGGACAGAAAATATATATAGAAATCGCACAAGTTTTTCAAACTTATAAATAAATAAAAATAAACATTTCAAATACTGTAAATGTAAATATTTACAAATTTTATTACTTTTTCCTTGAAGTGATTTTAAAAAACAGAAATGAAGCAATTTACTATGTCTACTTAAAATTTTCAGAATATCCACCTTTTTCAAAACAGAGCAAAAATAAAAAAACATTAATTTTTACCTATTTTCTAAATTTTTAAAACTATTGAGTGATTTGGAGCTGATTTTTGGTGGTCAAAGATTACCATCCTAACATGAATTTATAGGTACATACGTAAATAAATTCACGTTTCATTGTAAGGTGAAGTAAAATCTTTAATCGGATTTCGTTCATCGTCAGTCGACTTTCTACCATAATAATTGTTTCCATTTTGCTTCACATAGAAAATTAAAAAAAAAAAGGAGAATTGCCGATTGGAAATACCATTAACACACATTCTTTATTTGATGCGTGATGTCTTTTACTGCCAGAGATGGTTTATAAATAGACTTTCATAGATCCAAACGGTATAACATTAAGTCCATTGTGTAAAAGTATTAATTTGAGTTAATGTATTTACTGTTGTTAGTTTTTACTATTTATTAATATCGGTTTTCTCTCACAATAACTATGCACATAGTAAAATTTATTTACCGATTCGGTATTGATTCAAGCAATTTTGGCTACAAAAAAAAAACTGTAACTGGAGGTTGATATGTCTGAATTAATCATAATACTTAAAATATCTTAATATCTTAATTAATATTATAAATGCGAATGTATTTGTTTGTTTATTACCATTTAATGCCTTAACTAGTCAACCTATTGTCATGAAACTTGTCATGGGTACAAAAAAGAGCATACGGTACCCTTTATCCAGAAAAAAATACTAGTCCCCAGGGATAGAAAAATTTATTTCCGTCTTGATAATGAAAGATCAATATATATATGCTTAACCTAGAAATTAGAAAGTTCAGCTTTATCCTGATGATCCTGGTCAGAACTTAAGGACAAATGTATGAAATTATTGTATTTTCGATGATTTTTGACACGTATTTAGAACACAAACGAAGCCGCAGGTAAAAGCTTGTAGTATATAAAGTTCGTGTAGGCTAGTTAATATTTATTAGGTAGGTTAATTAATTACTAATATTAATTATGTGCTAGAGTGAACCAGCATAAAATTGTTTCCAAAATTGTATCGTTTCGATCTTTATCTGACAAAAATCCATAAAATACACGAACTAATGCAACTTAAAAGGTTTTCACCAACTAACTATGTATCAATTTACACGATATGTTTCGTTAAACACTTTAGGAAGTCAATGCTTGACAAAACATATTTTGCAAGTCAATAAATAGTTAGTGAAAATCTTTTAAATTACAAAAAAAATGTTTCTATTCTGAAGAACACAACCAGTTATGGTTTCCATTTAACATCACCCAAAATTACATAATATTTTGACCTTTATCTTTAAAACAAAAGATAATAGATGCATTTTATAAAGTTATTATATGGTGTATGTTTCTTTATAACATTTTTGAAACATCCAAGATGTTTTTATTTTGCTACTTAAGCAGGAGTTCTATGCTTCAACTGTTGTCAATATTCCTCTAGTCATAGTCACACAATGATAATTTAGAAGATTGTACATTATTTCTTTCAAAAATTAAAAATTTTGAAGAATTTGCTCTGAGAGAGGACTTAAAGATATTAAAGGAAGGATTAGCTTTTATATAAATTTTAGTCGAATAGATGCATACGTTTGAAAACTTTGACATCTTGCGAGAACGTTTTTAGTTTATTTGTTGATATAATAATATAAACTGAATGGATTTTAAAATTAGGCGAAATTACGCTTTAGAGTTAGTTTTGTACCTAGTATAAACTGAATTCTCCAAAATAACAATAGCAGCAATGTACTATACTATTAGTAAATTCCCTAATTGTATTAAGTGGAACACGAAACTTATTGGAAATATTCACATTATCTTTAAAATTGTGTTGTGTGAATTTTTATCATGTGTCTGCTATATAGATGTGCATATGTATAGACTTTGTATAAAAACTTGACAATAGCCATGAGCGTTTTGGCCAAAATCCTGCTGGTCTAGAAAAAAAAAGAAGAAATCACTCACTAGTTTAGTAATCCACATATTGATCGATAAATTTGTGAGTCGTCAAACACCGGATGAAGCTGCACCACCAGCAAGCAGAAACAGCAGTTGTTAGAAGCAAGAACTAACTTTCAACGGGTCTCGGCGCCGATTTCACTAACAAATTATTTCTACAAACTGTCACTTGGAAGAGTGTACGGCGCGGTCTCACCAATTATATTTATTTATTATCAGTGGCGTGTTGCGGACTCTTCATCGTCGTGAAACACTTTCGACAGACACTTAACGAATGATTTCGCGAGGCCGCGATGAAGAAGATGAAACCCCGTGAGAGAAGTGGGCAGAAACAAGAAGAGTATGACGATGACGATGAAAGGGGATCTGCTGTAGAAAGTTGTTCCACTGGTGTAATCGGTACAAGAAACAGAAGAAGAAGGACTTACTTATGATAGCGTTCCTGCAGCGGCAGAACTGCTGTAGGGAAGAAGTTACGAATACCTTACTCTGGACAGAAAGTAAAGAAAGTTCCCTAAGGGCATCAATGCATTCCTTCGATTTCCTTTTATGTATTCGCCGAATTCGTTTCGAATATCCAGTTTTTTTTTTTCGATTATTTACGCTGCAAAATTGGTCTCCACGAAAATCTATTTTATTTTAACGGAATAATATCCAACCTATGTTCACTATTAAGGTACATTCTAGACATTGGTGAAATTGGATGATTATAGTTTCGGAGATTACCGTCTATATTCAAATCGACAGACAAACAAAAATCGACGTACAGGATAGGCAGATTTCGACGTTTGTATAGGACAACTCAGTAAATATTATAAGAGATACAAAAAAAGATTAAGGACAACTTCTCGATCTCTTTTTTTAAGACAAATTTATTGGTGTTTCCAAAAATTTGTAAGGCAATCTCATAAATCTGTTTTTGTGAAAATAAAAGGAAACCTAGTAAATCATGGGAGTCATAACCAAAAAAGAAAAAAACTAGGATCTATTAACAATTAGTATAACCTCAATTAATGTAAATATTCAAACTGATTGCAGTTATTACCAACACATAAACTAGATCTCGTTATGATATTCCGAACATCATTTTTTTTATTTTTAATGTGCTCCCAAAAGAAAAAGTCCAGGACCGATAACAGGTAATCACGGAGGTCATCTCACTATTGCAGTTGGTGTTTCATAAATCCGAAACGGCTTTGGTATGAGGAGGTGCGCAATTCGACAAAGATTGTTAAAGGTATGTGTCTGGAATGCGGCGCTGTACGGGTGCGAAACATGGACGGTGAACGCGGCGGAAAAGAAAAGGTTAGAAGCGTTCAAAATGTGGTGTTACATACGAATAATGAGGACATTGTGGATAGAGAAGGTTAGAAATTAAGGGGTAGTAGAAATAATAGGACAACAGAGAAGTAAATAAGAAATAGGCGAGATAAGTTGGTAGAACACCTTCTTAGGCATGAAGGTCTAGTCAGAGACATATTAGAGGCAGAAACGGAAGTTAGAAGGGGTAAAGGTAAACCTAGATTAGATTACTGTTCGCAAATAGTTAAGGATGTGGGTTGTCCTAGTTGTCCTAGGTGCGTGTTCAACCAGTCTTAAGACTGACGACCTTGTGATGATGATGATGTATTTATCACGTAACGCCAATGTTGGAGTAACTTTCGTAGATGAATATTTAAATCAAACCAAACTGCAAGACGCTGTGCTTCCCATTTGACATTCGTGTTTATTTGTTTTTCGTCTTCCCCTGTGCCTTAAAAAACAATGCCTTTTATAATTAGTTGAATCAATTTAATCAACTTTAATTTATTATTTAAAATTGCGCGTGTTATTTTATGATTTTAGTCTGTGATTTTGTGTATGTTTTTATTATTGTTATTAAATATTCCGGTGATTGTACAATAAAGGTTCTCCATGTCTCCGTCTAATGTAATACAATAACTTTGTAATCTACCTTGATAAAGCCTTCGACCAAAAAGGCGAAACGTCGGTTTAAGATTACAAATTAAATAAATAACATTTCATCCCTCTGGTCGTTTTTCATTGAAACAGTTCTAATTCAACATTGGGGAAGATAGTACAAACGATTGTGTAACTATTTTCTGAGATAGATGGAAGAGACCTTTCACTTTATCATTTTCGACACATGGAACCTTAAAAGCACAAACAAATGACATGAACGTAACACACATAATAATTTCTTTTTCTAACTATAGCCATAATTCAGTCAAAAAACAGTACACGTTTGTGACTTACATTCTATTCATGTGGTGCAACAACTGATGCTTTTATATGTAAAAATTACATTTAAAGTTTTTATTAAATTTAAATAGTTTTTATCTCATTGATTCAATTCAAAATAATATAGACAACTGCACATTTTTGAATTATCATTAATAAACAGTAGATAATTTAATTCTTAAAATTCTTCTTAAAATACTGATATGCAAGGGAAGAAAAAGCAGGGA